TCCATTACCCCCCATGGCCAGATCTCTGAGGCGGCTCCAAAGCTTCAGAGCCACTTCGGCTGGATTGAAGCGGGAAACTGATCTAAAGCTCCAGATCGGATCCCTGGTATCTGAATCGGCTGGATCTGAAGCCGGATCGAATAGCTGCCTACTCACACAGGCCTACTATGCACATGGCAGGCTGCAGCTAGGTCTCATGTATCCCATAGAGGTCACCTATGCACTAGATTCATGGGTGGATCTAGAATTTTGAAAAGGGGGGTGCAGATGGTAAGGTACCTCATTACCAGGGATCCTGGTTTTCTTTGATTAAAATTTGCAAATTCTCTGATTAAAACCCCAAAATCTGTGATAAAAATTAAAGGCCCCCAACAACCCCCCCACCCCCAGTGCTGCTGGTGCTCCGCATTCCCCCCCACAGCCTCAACAGCCCCTCTGATGCCCCTTGCAACAGCACCCCAGACCCACAGACAGACACAGACACGCAGGCACAGACATGTAGACACAGAAGTGCACACAGACACTGACACCCACCCCAGCATGTAACTGTGTGGGGGGAAGGGGTGGGGCGGGGTGGGGTGGGTTGGGGGAAAGGGAAGGTGTTGGGGGGTAGATCAAGAAGTGGGGGAGTGTGCCCCTGTAACAGCCAGAACCAGAGGGATTAATAAGCAGTAAATATGTGCTTCTGAGAGGCATTTGGTATTTTGCCTAAACAGGTAACATTAGCTAATATAAAGCTTGTAAGTTTGTAAACCGCAAATGTAACTTGTCTGTCATAAGTTTAACCAAAATGATAAATTAACTGTTCATGGAACTGACTTGGCCCCATAGGCAAAGCTGTAGCTGTAAGATTACGTGACCTAACAGCTCTTTGCTCACGGTTCAGCCTTGATGATAAAACTGGACCGAACTGCCTGGCACACCCAAGACATTCCAGGAAAGTATATCCCAAGAAAGCATATTCAGAGAAACCTAAAAGGGGTTGGATTTAGGTGGAGTAATGCTTATTTCAAACCTGAAGGTGCTGCATTGTAATTTGCTTATTGGATAAACCCGAGTCTAGGTAGTAACCTTTTATGATAATTTTGAACAACTTTTAATCCCATAGGGTAACAGCTATAGGGCAAGATTGTGAGTGGCTCTAAAGCCAACAGATTAACATAAGACTCGGTATAAAAAGCACATGCATCAGGTAACCAGCAGGAAGGAGGGAACAGAACGGTTATTTCTGTTCCATGCCCAGACCCCGGACTCCCAGTGTGAGTGAGGATCGGATCCTGATCGAGGGAATTTCCCCGGTAATCCCTCCGACAGCATCGATCGGGGATGCCTGACTTTGCTGGAATCACTTGAAGCGTAGCATCAAGGGACTATCGATAAGTTGCCAACCCATGTTTGTCTATCTGTTGTTTTGAACAGCCCAGTGGCTGATACCCTCGCAGTGCCCAGTTGGCCTGCGACAGAATTGATCTGTTGTTATTATTATCTGTTGTTATTATTATTTACTATTAGCTCTTTAATACTGCATTATCTGCTTATCGCATTTATCTTTCTGTTAACTGTTGTGTGTGTGTAAGCTATACTAAATTTGCCTTTGCTTCACTCCTAGCTTTGCCTCCTCAATCCAAAACTGAGCCAAACAGTCCAGTTGGACTGTGATAGAATTGATACACTCACAGTGCCCAGCTGGCCTGTGACATGCCCCTCTGCCCACTCCCAGGAGCAGGGCCAGGGGGTGAGGGCAGGGGTGCCACTCTGTGGGCCAGACATGTGCCGACTAGCTTGACAGGGGATTCACACACAGGGGCCGCCACCACAACTCTACTACTGCACCCTGCTCTACCATCCCATGGCCACCTGCACAGCTTTGTAGGCAAGTGGCACAGGGCGCAGCAGTGGCAGTGCGGTGGCAACCACCATGTGCAGGCTGCATACGTGCTGACCAGCTAGGGGGTAGAAAGGAGGGCTTGCATGCAGTGGCCACCACTGCACCACTGCTTATGCCCTGTGTCCGAATGCACGGCTCTGTGGTGGTACGGGCTGCTGTTAGCTGTGTGCTGGCTTGGGGGACTTTGCTGGCAAGTGTTGCCACCGTGGAGCCATGCCCTTCGCCCCTGGATCCTAGAGATAAGTGGGGCTTGGGGGCTGTGGGGCAGGGCTGGGGAAGATGGTTGGGGGCTGAGGGGTGGGGGGTGCTGCCAGCTTCAGGTGGCGCACCACAGCCAGAAGCAGGGCCAGGGCGTGAGGGCAGGGATACCCCTCTGCAGGGGGCTCTGTGGGCAAGCGGTGTAGTACAAAACCTCCTGCTGCCCCCGTGGAGCCATGCTCGGAGCTGTGCACCCGGGCGCAGCAGCAGTGTGCTGGTGGCCATGGCCATCACACAGCATGGGATGGTGGTGGGGATGGCTGCGTGCCACCTGGCCACCACCACAATGGTGCTGCCGCCCTGCGGCCGGCTGCACAGCTCCAGGTACAGCTCCATGGCAGCACAGGGAGGTTTTGTATGCAGCAGCTGTCTCCGTCAGCACAGCCCTGCAGGTAAGCGGCAGCGGCCAGGGTGTGCCAGCCCCTACCCCCGCCCCCACCATCCCTCACCGCCGCTGCAGAGCCAGACACAGAGCTGTGAAGCCGGCCTCATGCCAGCCTCCCCCTCCCCTGGGCAGGTGGCATGTATGCTGCCCGCACATGGCGGGCATCACCACACTGCACCCGTGTCACTTGCTGGCAAAGCTCCCCACAGAGGGGCACCCCTGCTCTTACCCCCTGGCCCTGCGGCTGCGGTGACTTTTTCAGCACTGCCTGCTTAGAAAGGCTGCAGCCCCTGCCAGACAAGGTTCTTTGGGTAAATCTGATATCTTTTATTAGACCAGATCAAATAGTTGCAAAAATTGTTGTTCAAGAGCTTTTGGGCATAAATACCCTAGCTTGATGAAGAGTATTTACACCCAAAAGCTTGCAAAGATTTTTTTTTTCCAACTGTTTGATCTGGTCTAATAAAAGATATCAGATTTACCCAAAGAACCTTGTCTGCCCATGTCCTTAGACTAACATGGTTACAGCCTACATTCCTGCAGCCACTGCCAGGCATTTGTGCTTTTAAACTTTGTGTGGAGAAGGAATCCAAGGGGTGGGCAGCACACCCCCCTGGGTCCGCCCCTGGCTGGCACCCCGCACAGCCCTTTGGCTGGTCTCCCAGGGCCTGCCCGGCTCCACTTGTGCCAAACCCAGCGAGTGCCAAACCGCAGGAGCAACCAGCAAAGCCCAGGCGGGCGCAGGCGGGTCCCCCGCGCGGCAGGGTGCAGGGCGAGGATGCTCTCGTCTGCACCTCGGCCCGGCGCATCCCCGTCCCCGCGCGTCCCACGCTCACCTGCCGCCCGCAGCATGGCCAGCCCCCGCTCTCCAGGGGCAGCTCGAAGGAGGTCTTGGCCGTGTGGAAGCAGAAGCCGCACTTGTAGTTGCAGCGCCGGGTGAAGTGGTAGTTGACGCTGGTGGGGGTCGGGCCGCGGCTCGGGCCGCTTCCCCGCAGCCCCAGCCGCAGCCGGGGCCAGAAGCTTGCCAGGCTCCAGCCCAGGACGCTGAGCGGGCTCCGCAGGGCGCGCAGCACTAGCGCGGCGAGCGCCAGGGGCAGGCGGAGCATCGCGGAGCAGTGCGGGG